TTTTTTTTGGTACCGGGGATCAAACCTGGGTCCTTGAGCTTGCGCAGCAGGCAGCAAAACCACTTAGCTAAATCCCTGGCCCTATTTTTTTCCCTCTTAAACACAATGTTGAGTTATAGACCTGTACATATATCTTGGTGAACGTTTGTGATTATCTTTATGAGGCAAATTCTAGGTAGATATTTGTTTTCAAATTATAGAATTATAGAGTTAGAAGACATTTTGTAAGTACAAATTATATCAAAGCCATTGTATTGATATAAAAATGAAATTTTAAAGATCTTTATGGGAAATAATGAAACTTCATGTTTTAATATTCACTAATCTCATTATCAGCAAACCTATTTTCATTTACAAGGTCTTTATTTTTTTATATTCTCTAGGGTGTTCGCCCAGTAGCTCAGGCTGGCAATAAACATGATGAACTCAGTCCCTTAGCCCTGTTTGCTTTCTTTGTGAATCGCTGCAAAGATAATCTTCATATTGTAGTGGCCTTTAGCCCCACTGGAGATGCCTTTCGAAATCGCTTGAGACAGTTCCCATCTCTCATCAATTGCTGTACCATTGATTGGTTTCAGGTTTGTAAATTTGGGGGGCTAACTCTTGGAATTGTACTGGTGTCTTATTTAAGCTTAATAATATGCATTCAGCAAGTGATTCTTGACCAGTTACTATAATGACAGGCATAGTTCTCAGCACCAGGGACTGGTAAGACTAAATATTCTACACAAGGATCTTGTACGCTAGACTGGAAGACATAAAAGGCAACCAGCAGTCAAAATAATATAAGAAAGGCATAATGTTGGTGTGGAAAAGGTATATATATGAAGACAGTGAAATTCTGAAATATGAAAATGAATTAGAGGGTGTATGAAGAATCCAGAGACAGGGCCGGGGATTTGGCTCAGTGGTTTCGCTGCCTGCTGCGCAAGGGCAAGGACATGAGTTCAATCCCCGGTACCAAAAAAAAAAAAAAAAAAAAGAATCCAGAGGGATGTATTAAGAACCAACAGGGGAATCAGAAATATGATTTGTAAAATATATAATTAATCATATCCATATTAATCTTATATATATTTAATTAAAATTAATTTCTGGTACTAATTTATTTCATTGACTTTTGCCTATTATCAATTTTATGTTTAAGAATAAATTTTTCCCTTTTAAGATTTATATATAAATACGTTTATTATTCATTTATCTTTTTGCAGTACTGGGGGTTGAACCTAGGGCTTCACATTAAGCTACATCCCCAGCCTTTTTTATTTTTTATTTTAAGACCAAGTCTTGTTAACTAAATTGCCCAGGCTGGGCTCAAACTTGAGATTATAGGGATGCACCACCACACCTGGCAAATATACCATATTTATTTATTACAAAGAATTGGCACATGTGACTGTGGAGCAGATGACGAGTACTGAACCTGCATGATTAGCAGAATGATTGAAAATGAAACACTCAAGATGTGCAGTCAGCAATATGATCCCAGGAGAGCCAATGATTTAGTTCCAGTCTGAAGGCCGTCAGGTTCAAGACCCAGGAAAAGCTGATGTTTGAGTTCAAGTTTGAAGTCAGCAGAGAGGAGGAATTCCCCCTTTCTTGGTAGTCAACATTTTTGTTCTATTCAGGCTTTCAGCTAATTGGATGAGGTCTGCTGACATTGGGAGGATAATTGCTTTACTTAATCCATCAATTTAAATGTTAAACTCATATAAAAACATGCTCACAGGAACACCCAGAATAATGTTTGAACAAATATCTGGACATCCGCCCCTCCTCCAGTCAAGTTGACACATAAATAAATATAACAAGAGGATAGTGTATACAAAAGTAAAAAGGTGGAGATGGCATAGCCCATTTAGGCAACTGCAAATAGTTTGGTATAGCTGACTGGCAGTGAAGCCAGTGGGAGAGTTAAGTTGGAGCTTTGGGTGAGTGCCAGGTTATAAAGGGATTTGTAAGACATTCGTAGGAATTTGGTTTTATAACAAAGATGTTATAGATGCATTAACATATTTTTAGGTAATTTATACTTTGAAAAGTAAAACCAAAACACTTGGAGGATCTGTGGTAGATTTAATTAATAGTTGGGCTCAAGAAGAGGCAGAAAGGGCTGGGGATTTAGCTCAGTGGTACCACCACCTACCTCTCAAGTGCAAGGTCCTGAGTTTGATCCCTGGTACCAAAAAATAAAAAAGAAGAGGCAGAAAGACCAGTTAGGCAGTAATTTCAGTAATGCTGACAGGAAATAATGAAAGTCACAATACAATTAAATTTAAGACCAATTGTCACTGTCTGTGTAAAAGCATTAAGTATCCATACTTTTGAAAATGGTAGCCTTCCATTTAATTGTTTTGTGCCCAACAGAACATGGACTATACATTGGCCCTGGATAACTTTATTTTTTTAAATTCTTTTATTGGTACATTTTAGGTATATAGTACGTTTACATTTATCATTGGGTGCTTGTACCTGTATATAATGTATCTTAGTTCTTATTTTTTCCCCATTACCTGTGCACCCTTCACCCCCTGCACCCTTCCCTATTTACATAGATTTC